ACCTGAAAGAGCGAAAGTTAGTTTTTTGATTTGAAAACCCTGCAATTTAATATTGTTAAGGACTCAATGTAGAAATATGATATAATATCATGTAGAGATCAATCATCTTCCAAAAATCTTCTATGTATGAAAGAAAAAAATTTGCAAAACGTACCTCTCAAGAAGTGGGAACGTTTTGCACACTCTCGAAAATAAAACACAATTTCATTAATTATTATGCGAAAGGGGAATTGAACATATTTTTATTCAACCAGATAATCCTCAGGCCAACAGATTTCGCAAAGAGAATTTCCCCAAACAGTAAGATTTTTCAAAAAAAAGAAATATAATGCGAAGAATTAAGATTAATCACCGAAAAAACAACTGATTTTACTTACTTTAATGATTTTGAAGATATGCAAATTATCAGGAAGAAAGCTCAATATAACAAATAAAATAATATTCTAATTTGCAAGAATGGGTTTAATGACTACGCACAAATACATAGCCTCATACATATCAACAAAGGTCTTGGGTCTCCGAGGTTCTCAATTTCATCAGAAACCGCTATATGATAACCAAGCTTACTCAGATCTACACATAAATACATAGCCTCATACATATCAACAAAGGTCTCTCTACTCTTAAGTTCCAATTCCCAAAATTTTATTTTTATATTTATTGGCAAAAGGTAAAAGTTCCAAATTATCGTATCGTTAATTTTTAATTTGCTTTCAAATTATATTTTTTGTACTTACGTTCAATTTTTATTTTTAATAAATTATTTATATTAAAATTTCGAAATATTCATAAATACATTCAATTCATATAATAATAGTCAATATCATCGTTTTGAGAAGATCAGATCCTACACAAAAACCATGGAGAGGATTGTATTTTCAATGTATGCCTCTGAGCACTAAAGCAAAAAGCTAGAACCAGTTTTTAACCTGTATAATAAAAATGTATCATATATCTTTTTGGAAATAAAAAACAAATTTTTATTTATTCAATATTATATAAAAAGGTGTTGATATTGCAGGTTTTTCAAGTATGTTTTCCATCCCAATAAAACTCAATAATTAATCGATATATCTGAAAAATACGAGTGCAAGTGGTGAATTTCACTCAACTTTCGTTTTGCTCCATTAAATGACTCAATTTTCATCCTTTGCTGAGAATTTTTGTATTTGGAGATAATAATCTAAACAGCTACTCGTGTAAAAGTATACGACTAGAAGCGGCCGTTCGGTGCTTGATGTTCAACCTGTGATGAAAAGATGTCAAAATTGCGCAATAGTGTACAGTAATTTCGCCGTCAGATGTTAATTTTTTGCAAGAAGAATTAAATATATAATGTGGATTTGGTAATTGCGTTTGATGTTTGGTTTTGTTAATTCGTTGGATAAGGCTTTAATCTGGGTTCCACGGATGAATACCCATACTGATGAGTTGAACTTAATCACAACATCAAATTAAAAATTCTTACAATTTTTAACCTTGGTTTTGGGGTATTTGATAAATTATCAGTTCTGCTCATGAATTGTGCTAAAGCGGAACATATTTTAACAGCTGATTTATCTCTTTGGGAGAAAGAAGGTGACGTGTCGCGAGCTGACCACCATCAATAACTGGAGAACTAACTGTGCAGTAAAGGCTGGAAATGTCAAGAGTTGCAATTCTGAAGGACTCAAAAGTTTGGCAAGTAAAATAACTTACTCGGCCTGATATGATTTATCACCGAAATACGATATTATGCTGAGCTGGCTGTGATAGCATCAAGAACTTGAGCGATATCTCTGGATTTCGATAATAAAAGTTAAATTAAAGATAATCCCATATCTTTCTTTGTCATCCATCCATAAGATTGTCCTGTAAGGAATGCTCTCACGGAGCGGAAGTTTTCCTGTGAACAATTTTAAATTCCTGGAACAATAATAAATGGGTTTCATCCGGTAAAATCCTTCAGAATTATATGGGAGATACTAGTACAAGCACAAAAATTCATGCTCTTCTTTGGTTAAAGGAGGGTTGGCTTTCAAGTGCAGATAACTTTGAACGCTTTTGATGAAGCAGAGATGGTTTCATAAATACTCCACTTATTCCCAGTGGATCAATTCCCTGCCGTATAACTGAAAATTAATGTAAGAAGTTAGCAACTGTTGCTTGTTACCAGTACTTTGCTCGTTTTTCCTCATTTTCTTTTGAGCTTTTGATCTCAATGTTGAGATCAGAGGCAAACATCTGTTTAACCATGATCTTGAGGGAGATATTACTTCTAGCGAAGTAAACAATTCTTTTTTCCTCTTGTTTGGAAATTCGTCTGGATGAACAAGGCCAGCTAAGATATAAAGCTCTGCTGTATCTAACTCCAGTAATTCGTAGGCAATCTGATAAGCTTCGATTACCTTTTCACATGCAAGACCTTTTTGCTCTTTGATTGGAATTTCACCAATAAAAATCAAGTAATTCGACCTCTGAAAGATACGAATGGTTCTCCACCATTACATGTGTTGTCCATACATTTTCCGCATTGTATGTTCGAACTCTGCAGTTATTGAATCATCCGCGTTTCCATGGTAAATTCATCTTTGTTATCAGTGTAGCACTTTATTGTTTTAGTCTTCTTTGAAAGATTTTACGTTGAATACGAAGACAAAACTGCTTTTTCTCAATGAAGTTTACAATTTGGCTTTTTAAATGTAATTAAGGACTTTCCATGTCATTTTTGTAAAAGTTCATTTTCGGTACGGAACAAATGCAATATATAATGCATTAATTTAAATGTTAAATAAATTTTTGTATCTTTGAAAATTTCAAAAGTTTAAAAAAAAATTGGCACTATATATTATTCGTCTTTCAATGTACTATGCAAAATTTTAAAGTTTTGGCTTAATGGATCTGTGGGATAAGAGTTATTGAAATTTTGGTGTTCCTCGAATTGGCCAGAGATTTCGAGGTGCTCATGCCTTGTTCCATAACATACAGATATATGTTGTTTGTGACTAGAGATAATTTTTTCTAAAATATAGAGATTAAATTGTTAAAAATCCTTCATTTAAAGAGTTTCCTGTTAAATGATTGGTGACTTGAATTATATTTGTCGATGCAGTTTTTGTGTAAGTCTCCCTCATTGATTCCGATTTTTGATGATTTTATGTTTCGAAATTCGATGTATTGGGGTCTAACTAAAAAATAAGATTAATCAAGAGTAAAACACTGGAAATCGGATATTCTTCTATGCAATGAACTGGACTAATCTGTGTGTTTGGGAGGTGAATTCAAAATTTTTTTTGAAATCCCGAAAATTTGAAGATCAACGCCTTTATATTTTTGATTAAGTTATATTTTACAATTTCAGATTCTTTTTTGAATACTTTTTGCCATTCGGTTTTGGTTTATAAAGCTTAATATCAAAGCAATAAGCTTGTTTTTAAAAATCACATTATTTTTATGTAGGTAAAAGACGAAATGTGTGAAGTGAGGCATATCTCAATATTTTTCACCAGATCTTCAGGCATTTTAAATGGATATTGTAATAAACACCGAAATTCATATCAAAAGTGACAGCCTCAATTTTTTGAAGCGAATTTGTTAAATTCTTCTAAATGAATGAAAAAATGAAATAGTACTAAGGCATAATACAATTTTATAGATTTAATTATAATTAGTGAAAGTTAGTTTTGGAGTACTTTTCTAGGCATATAGAATGAACATCTTCTGAAAATAATATTCCTCATCTTCAGTTATATTCGTAATTTGAAGGTTTACTCTTCGCATTTTAGATCATCTGAACATTGAATTTTTATATAATAATAGTTATATATTGAATAATATGAGATTTAATGTGGATATTATTTTCAGAAGATTTTTGTGTTCTTACTTCAAAATTTTATTTTTTATTAAAAAGAATTTCTTTACAAAAATATACATTCTTTAATTAATATTTAAAAACGTGCGATACATATCAAAAGTTCAGAAAATTATATTTTAGCTTTAACTAGGTGTCACTTTTGATGAATTTGGCTGTTTACAACAATAAATATAATAGTGTATATCATTTGTATTTGTGTTATTTAGTAATTTATTTAATCCATTACTTATGCAAAGCTAAACACAGATAAAATGCGTTTTAATTTTTTTTTCAAAACAAATGAACAAAAAAATTACACTTGAAGATATATTTCTTTAAGTTATTTATAGTAATGGAAAATAATATGGTATATCTATTTCATAACAAATAGCTAGATCATATACCTCTCTTGTGTTCCATGTAAAGAAAAATTTGATGAATTAAGAATTATTAGTTAATTCACTGTATATATAATATATCTTTTATTAAATACATCAATGCAGACAAAGAATGATGTTAATCTTATGTGCTACTAATATAATTGTTTTTGTACCTAGTGTATGAAAAACAGAAATTCATCAAAAGTGACATTCCTCAGAAAAGCTATAACTAATGAATTTTTTGGGAAACTTTTGATAGAGCACGTTTTTGAAATATTATTAAAAGTAAAATGTATATTTCGTTTATAAGAATATTCTTTTTCAAATAAAATAAAAATTTTGAATGTTAGAACACAAAATCTTTCTGAAAAATATATCACAATAAATCTCATAATTCATTTTTCTAATATAATAATATGTTATAATAAAAGATTCAAATTCCATTAGTGAGGTCTTAAAGCGAAGAGATATTAACCCAAAATTTACGAATATAGATGAGTGGAGAATATAATGCTTTATCTATCAATAAACCATATTGAAATATTTTTTGCTTACGCCTAAATTTTGACGATCATTTAGCAAAAAATGTTAAATGTTACATCAGTCCATTGAATATGACAAATAAAGCAATTGACTTTGATTAAATCGTTTTATTTATCATGCACAATTCTTCTTGCGACAAAGAGATTTGAATAATTTTTCAATATTTAAGATAGCTTTAATAAAATAATATCATCGGTAGTAGTTTACTAATAAGAGAATTTATTAAATTTTAGATTATCAGATATTTATCTACGAATGTTCACGGCCAGACACACACACTGGAGACACACGAGTTCAGGCGACAGACCACATGAGCCTTGTCTAGAATTGGAAGAAGGGATATAATCATGTACGATCATGATAGCAAGACTGTTAAACAATCTGTTAGATGCACAGGCGTTGATGCTACTCCACCGGTGTATATAAGATGAGGAGATACTTGTCCAGAAAGTATGCTTATCGGCATCAAGTGCTCCGATGATGGATTCCACATGGAACGCGATGAATTCAATAATGCAGAAAGTGCGAACATTTAACAATTGGCGAATGTTATGGAGCAACCACATTGGTAATGGTGGAGAACCATCGGTATCTTTCAGAGGTGAATTACTTGATTTTTGGTGAAAATAAATCAAAGAGCAAAAGGTCTTGCATTGAAAAGTAATCGAAGCTTATCAGATTGCCTACGAATTACTGGAGTATAGATACAGCAGAGCTTTATATCTAGCTGGCCTTGTTCATCAGACGAATTTTCCAACAAGAGGAAAAAAGAATGTTTACTTCGCTAGAAGTATATCTCCCTCAGATCATGGTTAAACAGAGTTTGCTCTGATCTCAACATTGAGATCAAAACCTCAAAAGAAATGAGGAAAAACGAGCAAAGTACTGTAACACAGCAACAAGTTGTACTTTACATTAATTTCAGTATACGGCAGGAATTGATCCATGGAATAAGTGGAGTATTTATGAAACATTCTGCTTCATCAAAGCGTTACAAAGTTATCTGCACTGAAAGCAACCCTCCTGTTAACCAAGAAGACATGAATTTGTGCTTGTTACTAGTATCTTCCCATATAATCTGAAGGAAACCGGATGAAAACCATTTATTATTGTCCAGGAATATAAAATTGTTCACAGGAACTCCGCTCCGTGAGAGCATTCCTTACAGGGAATCTTATGTGTGATGATGACAAAGGAAATATGGATATCTTTAATTTAACTTTTTATTACGAAATCCAGAGATATCCTCAGTTTGATGCTATCACAGCAGCTCAGCAATATTCGTATTCGGTGATAATCATATCAGCCGAGTAAGTTATTTTACTTGCAAACTTTTGAGTCTCTTCAGAATTGAACTCTTGACATTTCCAGCTTACTGCACAGTAGTTCTCCAGTTATTTGATGTAGATGTGCGCATCTTTGAGATCAAAGAATAACAGGTTAAAATTATGTTCCGCTTTACAACATATGAGCAAGATAATTTTATCAAATACCCCAAAACCAAGGTTAAAAATTGTAAGAATTTTAATTGATGCTTGTGATTAAGTCAATGCATCAGTATGGTATTCATCCGTGGAACCCAGATAAAGCCTTATCCAACGAATTAACAACAAAACAAACGCAATACCAAATCCCAATATATATTATATCTTCTTGCAAAAAATTAACATCTTTGACGCCGAATTACTTAAAATTGCGCAATTTGAAGCAATCAAATTCAAACATTAAATCAGCACTGATAGTTATTGTAACAAATATTTCGAATTATTTAGATTATTATCCTCCAAATAAAAAAATTCTCAGCAAAGGGATGAAATTGAGTCAATTTAAATGAGCAAAAGAAGTGAGGTGAAATTCACCACTTTGACACCTCGTATTTTTCAGATATATCGATTAATATGAGTTTTATTGGGATGGAAAACATACTGAAAAACCTTGCCAATATCAACACCTTTTTATATAATATTGAAATAAATAAAAATTGTTTTTATTTTCCAAAAAGATATATGATACATTTTTATTATACAGGTTAAAAACTGTCTAAGCTTTTTTGCTTTTAGTGCTCGACCAGAGGCCATACATTGAAATACAATCCTTCCCATGGTTTTTGTGTAGATCTGAATCTTCTCAAAACGATGATATTGACTTATTATTATATGAATTGAATGTATTTATGAAATATTTCGAAATTTTAATATAAATAATTTATTAAAAATAAAAATTGAACGTAAGTACAAAAAATATAATTTGAAAGCAAATTAAAAATTAACGATACGATAATTTGGAACTTTTACCATTTTGCCAATAAATATAAAAATAAAATTTTGGAATTGAACTTAAGAGTAGAGAGACCTTTGTTGATATGTATGAGGCTATGTATTTATGTGTAGATCTGAGTAAAGCTTGGTTATCATTATAGCGTTTCTGATGAAATTGAGAACCTCGGAAGACCCAAGACCTTTGTTGATATGTATGAGGTAGTGTATTTGTGCCGTAGTCATTAAACCCATTCTTGCAAATTAGAATATTATTTTATTTGTTATAATTGAGCTTTCTTTCCTGATAATTTGCATATCTTCAAAATCATTAAAGTACAGTAAAATCAGTTGTTTTTCGGTGATTAATCTTAATTCTTCGCATTATATTTCTTTTTTTTGAAAAATTCTTACTGTTGGGGGAAATTCTCTTTGCGAAATCTGTTGGCCTGAGGATATTCTGGTTGAATAAAAATATGTTCAATTCCCCTTTCGCATAATAATTAATAAATTGTGTTTTATTTTCGAGAGTGTGCAAAACTTCCCACTTCTTGAGAGGTACGTTTTGCAAATTTTTTCTTTCATACATAGAGATTTTTGGAAGATGATGATCTCTACATGATATTATATCATATTTCTTACATTGAGTCCCTTAACAATATTAAATTGCAGGGTTTTTCAAATCAAAAACTAACTTTCGCTCTTTCAGGTCAAATCAGCAAGGCTCTTCTATATAGGTGTTGGATATATTATCAAACTGAAATGAAACTTTCCAAGATGTCCATAAAATTATTTTGCAAAACATCCCTCTCAAAAAGTGGGAACGTTTTTGCAATTTTTCTCTTTATTTTTTGTACCATTATCGGTCCATAGAGCGAAAATGGGGACCAGGTATTGTGCTTAATGCACGTTTGAGTACATTTTGTTGTAATACTCTGCAGTTTTCTGAGAAAAGCATTATGAGTGATCTCGTTTTTTCTTAAAGTCATTTTTTTTCTTATCAAAAAAAATTAAAATTACGTTAAACTATGACAAAATTACGTATTCACTAATTTTAATGCTGAAAAATAGGAATATAAGCTTATAATACTACAGGTAGATTGACATCGATGCGCGCTAATGCCAACATGATTAATTTGAGTCGGTTTTATATATTTATTGGAAATTAATCACAAATTGTCCTGAATATAAGTTATATTCTTCGATATTATGAGTTAATGAAGGCATACAATATTTGTAATCATATTGGCCTAGTTAAAATCTATTAGAATAAAAGAAATTGTAATTTAATAATATTGAATTGACATTTTAAATAATTTGAGGTCTAATCCATTATGAGTATGGTTTTACAGGTCACTTATTATTATTCTTTGATATACAAAGAGTTAAAACGATTTGGTAATGAGATATTGGTAGAAAATAAAAATAACTGTAATCTATTGAAACTGATAAAAAAAAAAT